AGGAAAACTTGATAACTTTTTCAATATTTAACTTACGATATTTCGCTAACTATTTGTCGAAAAAAAGTGGTACTAGACTTTCTTGTTTTATTTAGTCTCAAGAATATATTGTTGCAATAGCGCCTTGACTTTTGTTAATTTACTGATTTTTGGAAATTTCAAAATTATCAAATTAACAAAAATCAAGGTGCTATTGTAACAATATATTCTTGAGACTTGTTCAAATTTCACACTTGCGCGAATAACACGCGTATAAAGTGCTCTGAACAAATGAACGCCGGGATCGTTCAGCGTTGAGCGTCGCAGAGTGTAGGAAGCTGCTAGATGGAGGAATAGGTAATTGGCAAAGCCATCTAATAAAAGTTTCCATTGACCCAAAGAGACTTCCAACTCACTTTAATGCCAAAACACCAACTAATATCAATTAACGCATATACAGAGAACTCATGATGCCGGCGATTCACTCGAGCAATTTTTGGGAGCGGTACACCAAAATCAGACGGAAATCGTGGGGCCCTCGGCCATTGCTTCAAACGACGCGACGGAGATCTTGCCGAACGTTAATTTAACGCCCTTCCGGAACGGAGATCTTGAGCGCGAAAGACGAGTGCCGCGAGAAGCAGTGAGGGATCGCGATCCGCGATTCACCACTCTCCAAAACAATTGGTGGAATAGACCGTTCGACAATAACACCAGTTTTTAATGACGACGTGTAGTGACAATAACGCACCGATGTCACTGGCTACGATGCACGAAAGTCGTGAGCGGGCTGCACGAAATGCAGCAGGCGTACGCGACAAGTTAAACAAAAGAATTGATCGCGACAATCCGCTCGATTATGCGACGCGAAAGCAATTGCCCGATCACCGTGAGCCTGTATGAAAATCACGGCGGTTAGACAACACGCACGATGGTTGTTGATTGGCTGCCCGACATCGGATGATCCGCGGAAAGAAGAAATCACGCGAAAGGATTGTGATAGACAACAAAACATTTGAGCATGAGCGAGTCACGTGCCAAGCGGTCGCGATATGGAAACACCGAAATTATAATCACTACCGACAGCCCGAATATGCCGATCGACCGAATCTCAAACAAGACTAAATAAAGCAGGAAAGTCTAATACCACTTTTCCTTCCGACAAATAATTAGCGAAATATCGTAAGTTAAATATTAAAAAAGTTATCAAGTTTCTTCAAATATCTCAAAAATTATTAGACAAATAAAAAAATGTTTTAGACAAAAGTTGTTCAAATTAATTGGTAGAAAAAAAAAATGTAATAAAAAATAAAAGTTCCCATTTAAAAAACGCAAGGTGACCTTCAAACAACCTTGAAAATAGAGGTCAAGGTCATCATGAGGTAACTCACTTAAATCGCTACAACTTTTATTCAGATCGTTTTCCTTGAAACTTCAATACTGAAGAGTTATTTGGGGTGGGACATTAAAGTGGGACACCCTGTATAGTAAAAGTTTTGGGTCCATACTTCGCAGATAGGAAGAACAATGACGCAAATATTCTTAATAGTCTGATGATGTCTGATGCAAGTGAGCTAAGATGATGGCTTAGCCCTAATGATATGTTTGTCGTTGACAGGGGCTTCAGAGATTCTCTCGAAATGTTAGAAGAACTTAGTTTTGTCTCAAAAAAATTTTTAGAAGAGAAAGCTCAGCATATTTTTGATGAAGTAAATCAGTCTCGTCTTGTTACTCATATACGGTGGGTTGCAGAGGCAGTTAACGGATTACTAAAACAGTAGAAAGCTCTTAATCAGGTTTCCTAATTCGCAAATCCCATTTTTAGGTCAATATGTAAGAATTGTATGTGCTTTATGTAACACATTTCGACCTCCACGAGTGTCACATAACGAAGACGATGCTATAATATCTGAACGAATGTTACAATTAGTTGGAACACGAAATCTTCTGCAGCAATGTGTGGAACAAGAAAACTGGGTAAGGAAAAGTGCAACGTGGATTCCTGTAACAGCGGACACAGTTGTCGACTTCCCTAAATTGACAAAATGAACTGAGATTATAACACTTAGGAGTTATCAAATAAAACAGGCCAAGTCGTACACGCAAAAACATCTTGCTTCTGATGGCATGTATAAACTATTTATACATAAGGAAAGCACAGATATTTTACGTGTACGAATATAATCACGGTACAACAGTATAACCTATGGATCCAGTACACTATTGGAATAAATCCTATTACTGGCTGGTACTGTCAGTGTAAAACTGGGGCATGAACAGTTGGATGTTGTGCTCATATTGTCTCAGTTTTATGGCATCTCGGGTATTTTAGGAACTCCAGGGAAGTAATCTCACGCCTTTCTTCCCAATATACAGATTACGTTGACGATGCTGTTGCAGATTGGTCTGAAACAGATGATTAGAAGAATTTCTGTTGTAGTTAAAAGATATATATACACCGGTACATGCACCACACACCACTTTCTCTAAAAACTAAATAAAATCAGACAGGGCCAAATATTCATCTACGAGGTATATCCAGAAAGTAAGAATACAAGAGCTGTGTAAGACGTAGGGATTTTTTTGTTGCAAAGTTGGCACCCGTGACGTGTAGAGGGGTTCGTAACGGTCAAAATAAGCCATCGAGCGCCTCAGTCAGTTACGAAATATCGTCGCAGCAGCCTAATACGTCAACCAGTGCGTCCTCCGTTCGCTCCACGAAGAGCAGATGTGAGATTCGTTCAGTCATTCGGTTCCTCACTTCAGTCTCATTCTCTTTAGTCTCAGTATGACAGTCTCTGCAGTGGCGCCATACCCATTCTCTATCCTCCAAAAAATTCAAAGTTCAATCTTCAGAGAGGAAAATCATGGCGTCCGTGTTTTGAGACCGGAAAGGGCTCTTGTTGGTCGATTTCATGCCCAAAGGGACCACCATCAATGCTGCTGCATATTGTGAGACCCTAAAGAAGTTGAGAAAAAAATCAAAGAAAAAAAGAGGGGAATGCTGACTCGTGGTGTGTCTCTCCTTCAGGACAACGCCAGACCCCATACTGCCCGGCTCACTCAAGATCTGCTCGTGTCGTTTGGATGGGACATTGTGACTCACCCACCCTGACCTGGCACCCTCGGATTATCATCTTTTCAATAAATTGAAGAAGTTCTTGGGTGGACAGCTCTTTTCGAACGATGAGGAGGTCATACAGACTGTGACAAAACGGCTTCAGGAGGTGGAGCGAACGGTAACGACGAGGGTATACAAAAACTGGTGCCCAGGCTTCAAAAGTACATTGACCTCAACGGTGATTATGTGGAGAAATAATAACATATTTTGGCACATACCATGTAAATTTCAATAAAATATATTCATTTTTCGATTTTAAACAATTGTATTCTTACTTTCTGGATGTACTTCGTTATAGGGTTCTTGATAGCATTTGATAGCAAGTGTGACACACATACACATATTCACACATGCATACAAAACAGAGAGAGTTTGGAGTCGGTAAATATTATAGGAGTGACGCATCATGGGGTCTTTATCTCTGCTGAGACACACACACACACACACACACATATATATATACACACATATACACACATGCAAGAGAGATGTAAATCCGATCAGGCAACCTCCGCGTGGTACATCTTGGATAATATTAATATTGGTGATACTGCAAATTTCGAGCTTCATAAGTCGGAAAGTACTTAATGAAAAAATATTTTATTATAGTATTTTGCAAAGCTCTCGAGAAAAGCTACAAGAATATGCAATAAAAAATAGGGGGTTTTATTTAAAAAATTCAAGGTGACCTTGCCCTGACCTTGACGACGCCATCCAAGGTCAAATTGATAATATCAATAAATAGTCATTTTGAGCATTATTACGTTTGTCTGAAACATTTTTCTGTAAAACTTATATTTCTTGAGATTTTTCAGGATCTCGATCAAATCTTGCACTATAAGATGCGATTTCTCTAAATTCAAGTCTCATTCTTAATATGTGCGCACTTTATTAAAATCACCAAAATTTTATATTTTGAAGATGATACCTATAGAAAGTTTTTGAGAAAATTTGATGATTGGGGTGAATCAATAACAAGGTGAATTATGACAAACATTTTCCAAATGCACCAAATCCCACAAATACAAAATCTAAAATTTTGAATGCCTCGTTCTCCGAATTGAAACGCTATTTTCATAAATGCTTTAAGAAAATTACGAGGACTTTTATGAAGACTATTTCTGCAAAATTTGAGTCAATTCTGTGCAGGTTAGAAAAACGGCTTTATAGCCCCTTCTCCTTTAAGACAAATTGCTTCACAATATTCGAATATCGATAAAAATCGTAGATAATACTTGAAGTCGACTGAGACATAAACAGCTGCTACGAACTAATTGACAAATCGCATTCTACTTCTGTATGGAAGTTAAGTACAGTGGTATCGACTTAACCACAAAAGGATTTTGAAATATCATAAACACGCGTCATTTAAATGAGCAATTCCGGGTACTTTTTGAGTAGAAGGTATTATATGTGCAGAAGGTATTATATGTTATATTCTATTATTATATATGAAAATGTTATATTGTATTTTTTTTATTTTGTGTTTATTTTAATTTTACATAGGTGAGGGAGCGCATATATTAGATGTTTCTTGTATCTTATTTAAATTTAATATACGTCTAAGAATGCTATATGTTGGTGTTTATACATAAAAATCTACTTTTACTACGTCATTATTTTGCACTTCTGACTGGTGCAGTGTTTTAATATTGTTATTTTTATAAGAATTATTTTCATTTGATCTTATTTTTTCAGTTTGTTATTTTTAAAGAAAATACAAATTTGAACAACGCTTATTTGTTTTAATGTTTTAAATTTACTTAACTAAAGGAACATGTGTATATTTAGCGTTTTTTTCGCTTTTTAGAAAAGTCATTTTGTAAATACAAAATTAAATAAAAAAATTAAAAAATTTTAAAGACATGTATTTAACCAAATTTATTGGTTATATTTACAGAGTCTATGTAACTTTTATTGATAAAAGAGGCAAGAAACATACAGTACAAGGAAAAGTAGGAGACAATGTATTATATTTGGGTCATAAATATGGGATTGAAATCGAAGGAGCATGTGAAGCCTCCCTAGCATGTACGACCTGTCACGTATACGTACACCATGACTATGTGAACAAGCTTCCAGTCTCCGAGGAAAAAGAAGAAGATCTTTTAGATCTGGCACCATTTTTAAAGGAAAATTCTAGATTAGGTATGACGATGTTTATTATTATTTTTCACAATAAATTTCAGTTGACACTATATTATATTGTGTTTAATTATAATATATATATAATATATATATATATATATAGCCCGTATTCTGAATTTTCTTTTAGTGACTAATTAAATATCTGATGAGAGTCACAAGATAATAGTTCTCGATTAATATCTTTTAATATTAGATTATATGGGTTGCTGCGAAAGTTTTTAGAAACTAGTACTAGGTGGCGTAACTGAAATTTGAGAGTATGATTTTCATCAAATTCATCATTTTGTAGGTTAAACAGTATTGACAGATCAAAAAGAAGTCAACTAGTTTCATTTACGCATTGCTTTAAAGAAGATAGCATTATGAAAAAATGGAATTTTCTCGTGAACAATTTCGAATGATTTTGTACGATTTTCTGTGTGGGTTAACTTAACAACAATGCATCGACCGACTTCATCTGGCTATTGGGCAGAAAGCATCATCAAATGGCATTGTTTACAACTGGTTTGCAGAATTCAAACGTGGACGTAGAAATTTTACTTTAGAAATTTATAATTATGATGAATTTCGTGAAAGTCGTCATCAACCTCTGTTATTGCAACAAACATCAATGCCGTAAGAGAAATGATACAAATGGACCAGCATGTGACATACCGTGAGATTCAGGCATTCATAGGCATTGACATGAAACAAATACATGAGATCTTGTATGAACATTTGGCTGTGAAAAACTTTGTGCTCATTAGATTCCACACAATTTGACCGAAACTCAAGAAAAGGCTCGTGTCAAATGGAGCAAAGGAATGTTTAAGAAATTCAACCAAGGTGCTTCAAATTTCGTTTACAACATCGTTTACAACATCGTAACTGGTGATGAAACTTGGATTTATTCCTACGAGTCCGAAACTAATCAGTTGTTTAGGCATTCCAAGATAAGCCTAAACCAACAAAAGTTGTTTGTTCTCGCAGCGCTTCAAAAAAAATGATTGCTGCATTTTTCTCAATTACTGGTCATGTAGCTACATGTAGCTATTTGCTTTAGAGGATCGAAGGACTGTTAATGTTGATTGATATACAACAATTTGTTTGCGAGAAGTCATCGATGAATTGCATAAAACAAACCGTCGCATCATCCTTCATCATGACAATGCGAGCTCTCACACAGTCGGTCAAACAATTAAATATTGGAAGACGAAAAACGTGGAATTGACGTCTCATTGTTCGTATAGTCTTGATTTATCACCTTGTGATCTCTTTTTATTCCCATTTGTCAGAAATAAAATAAAGTGGAGAGCGGTTTTCAATACCTGAAGAAGCAGTTGACACGTTTACACAGCGTGTTTCTGAAATACCCACTTTTGAGTAGAAAAAATGTTTTCAGAATTGGTTCGACCGCATGCAAAAGTGCATAGATCTTAAAGGCTACTTTGAAAAATAATAAAGCCATTTATTAGGAGTACAAATAAGTTTCCGCCGTTTTCTATAAAAAATTAGGAATTTATTGTGAAAGAACGGTACATTACGTTTTATTCAAAGTATTGTCCATCAGTAGCCACTACTTTTTCCCATCTTTCTGGCAGCATTCGGATACCACGTCGGAAGAACTCTTCATCTTTTGAGGCTATCCACAAATCGACCCAATTTTTAGTATCTTCAGATGTTGTAAAGCGCTGCTTAGACAGGCCATGTGCCATCGACCGGAACAATCAGAAGGGGCTATGTCTGGTGAATACGGCGGGTGGGGTAGGACTTTCCAATTAAATGTTTCCAAATAGGTTTTGACCGGTTTTGCAACATGTGGCCGAGCGTTGTCATGTAGGAGAATAATTTTGTCCTGTCTGGAGTAGTAATGGGCGCGTTTTTCCTTGAGTGTTCGGCTCAATCTCATTAATTGTGTTCGGTAGAGAGCTCCAGTAATGGTTTCGTTCGGTTTGAGCAACTTATAATACACGACACCAAGCTGATCCCACCAAATACACAGCATGAGTTTTTTCCATGAATATTCGATTTGGCTGTCGATGTTGAAGCATGGCCAGGTGATCCCCATGATTTTCTCTTCTTTGGGTTATCGTAGTGGATCCATTTTTTATCACCAGTGATTATACGATGCAAAAAACCCTTTCTTTTATGCCTGGCAAGCAGCATTTCACATGTGCAAAATCGGCGTTCAACATCTCTCGGCTTCAGTTCATATGGAACCCAATTTCTTTGTTTTTGAATCATTCCCAACGATTTTAAACGATGTGAAATTGCTTGTTGAGTCACTTCTAATGTAAGTGCAAGTTCTTCTTGCGTTTGGCACGAATCTTCCTCCAATAATGCTTCCGATTCCGTGTCTTCGTGCACTTTCGGCCTTCCACTACGTTCTTTGTCTTCCATGTCAAACTCACCGTTTTTAAACTTTTGAAACCACTCACGACAACTTCTTTCACTTAAAGCAGTCTCACCATATGCTTCTACAAGCAATCGATGCGCCTCAGCTACAGATTTCTTCAAATTAAGGAAGTAAATCAAAAGTTCCCGCAAATGACGCTTATTCGGCACAAAACTTGACATTTTCGCACGAAAAAAATTATGTGATGCTGATACGGAGTCACTAATACTTCAAGGTTATGTTATTACCAGATGTCCAAACTTACGATATTACGTTTTACATCTGACAATTTCAACATAACCTTCTGGTGGGGCCATCTTTTGTTAAACGGCGGAAACTTGTTTGTACTCCTAATATATCCACTAATTTATGTTTTTTCATACTTTTTCTAAAAACTTTCGCAGCAACCTATACTCCGTTCACGGAGAGGACAACCAGGCATTTCGTCCGGTTCGGTCAGATCCCGCCTGATGGAACGCCTATTGTGCCCCCTCCACGCTACCAAGTCAGGTCAGACTCGACTACAGCCGGAAAGGGAGTCTGCGTATAAACCCTAATACGAACTAACGAATTTCGAACATTTGAAGAGTAGTCGTTACATACTGCGGTATGATAGCGCGATGTTCAAATTATTTCAACTATTCTATTTACAGAAAGTTGATTATGTGCCGGGACCCAATGATAATTACGTATACAGCACTGAGTAGCGCGCACGAGTCTTCGCACTCTGCCCAAAGCTGCGCGGAGCGTGGTCGTTTTCTCTGTGAACGGATTATATGTAAAGGGTTTTTCAATAAGGGCGGGTCGATGTTGCAATGGAATAAAACAAGCTGTGTGAGGTATTAACGAAATTCTTTTTTATTTGAAAGGCCCATGTATGCCATTATGTGTGGAATATAACATCGTTCAAATGCCCGCCGCGGCTTCTCACGGTGGCACGAAGCCGAGTGGTCCAATTTTCAATGATTCTGCCACATAGATCCGGCTGAATTTGAGCGATGGCCTGGGTTATGTTGACTTTAAGGGCATCGGTCGATTGCGGCTTATTGGCATAGACCTGCGACTTCAGAAAACCCCACAAGAAAAAGTCTAGCGGGGTCAAATTGCACGATCTTGGTGGCCAATTCACGTCACCTCTGCGAGAGATAACCATACCTTCAAATCGTTCATGCAGAATGTCCATCGTGGCGTCCGCTGTGTGGCACGTAGCGCCGTCCTGCTGGAACATGTCGTCCACGTCCATATCGTTCAATTTGGGCCAAAAGAAATTGGTTATCATCGTTCTGTAGCGCTCGCCATTGATGGTGATGGCCTCACCAACGTCGTTTTCGAAAAAGTACGGACCAATGACGCCGCCGGCCCAAAATCCGCACCAAACAGTAACTTTTTGTGGATGCATTGCTACCTGTTGAACCTCGTGTGGGTTGGGGTCGTGCCATATACGGCAATTATGTTTGTTAACATAGCCATTCATCCAAAAACGCGCCTCGTCGCTAAAGATGATTTTTCGGCAAAAATTGGGGTCCTCTTCCAAATGCTCCGAAGCCCAGTCAGCGAACAAACGGCGTTGTCTATGGTCATTAACTTTGAGCTCCTGGGCCAGTTGGATCTTGTACGGGTGCAGGCCCAAGTCCCGACGCAAAATTCGCTAACAAGGAGATGACGCAAACTGTTTCATCGATTTCAACACGAGTCATAGCACACTCGATAGCTATGATGCCGTGTATATGCGCCCTAACATAATATGCGTGAATGCGTCTTTGTTTACGAATAATTTGCAGTTAAAGTTTGGCTCGCGGAGCCGTGCCATACATAAGGCGCAAGTTACGACACTCTTTCACGAAGCGGCGTGGCTGAGCAGACAGAGGCTCCCGCGCCGCGAACACTTTTGCGCCGACGACGGCGTTCGAGTCCCGCCGACGACTGGTTCGTTTTTTTTTTCGTATGTAAAGACATGTAATAAATATTTTTATATTGTTCTTATGTATAATTCCTTTTTTTGTTTCTACGCTATTAATCAAGGCTAATTAGGAGAGTCAGGTCTTTCAAATATGAACACAACTTTTTTATTAATTACAATAAAATGTTTTTGTCCGTATCAAAACACATACACACACACACACATAAGACAAATATAAGGCACACAAATGAAAGTTACATATTATAAAATGTGGTCATGCTGTCGCAACTCTGCGGATGGAGTGCCGTATAAAAGCATGTAAAACATAATAGTTTTTTGCACCAACTGCACGTAATGAACGCATAATTTTTTGCACAAATACACTTTTGACTATGTATAGTTGGTGGAAAACATATTTGATTGACGTTGTAAAATATCTTGCGACTGTCAACAAGACTGGACGGAAATTGTATCAGGACATCTGCAAATATGAATTCAATATAATTGATATTGTATACAAGGCCAATAACAATACGTACAAATATATCTTTCCATTGCTCACACATTCAATATGTTTACCTCGAAGATATTCTATTGCGTCCGTCAACTTTTCTTTCGTAATATCACATTTTGCTAGATTTTGCACATAGCTGATCGTTGCTTCATCTACAAACGTGGTTTCCATTTTTAACACGAGTTTTTCACTGTTCACGTTATGAAGACTGC